GACTAATTTTTAGCAACTAAATTTTTCGGGGAAAATATTAAAAGGCTTTTATTCTTATATACCACAATCTAGACGTGCACGAGCTGGAATGTTACAACTTCTCTTTCTGGAAAATAGCCAGAACGAACTTACCGGTATTTTCAAAAAGGGCCTGTTCACACATACAGACCTTTCCGGAAAATTGACGGTATTTTTCCAGAAAGGTCTGTATGTGTGAAATGGGCTATAAAATATACAGTAATCATTGACTTCCATAGTATTTGTTTTCTTAATAGAAAATCAATGGATACAGGTTTCTAACCTTTTTCAGAAAAGAAAAAAAAAGTTTGGAACCACTTGTGAGAAAGTAAATAGTGAGTACATTTGTGTGTCCACGGTGTCTTACAAAGCTTAGTTCCAACGTCAGTTAGACACACCTGGGCTAGCAAATCAAGCTCTTACTAGGCTTTCTAGAAACATCCATCCCGGTGTGTTGAGGCAAGTTGGAACTAAAACCTGCAGGACACCGGCCATGCAGGGCCGTGTTTGGACACCCCTGCTTTAAAGCATTCAAGTCTTAATGTACAGGGCGGATGGCACCCAAAAGAAAATAGTACAGTACATCATGGCAAAGTTTTAGCTGTCTATACCTTGAAGTGGTAATATTTTAAATGTTTGAGTAAATCATGGACCAACTAAAGAAAGATATCTATAATATTCTGAAGAGAGGAATTAAATGAACATAAAAAAAAAAATAGATACTAAATAATTAGATGAAACTGCTTGACTTTTTTTTAACAGTGTAAAAATAAATAAGAGATAAATCATTCATCATACATATTTATTACAGGGCATGAATCTGCACAAAATCTGACTGCACAAAACCAGTAACAATCATAAAATAATAATTAATATAATACTTAATGTTACTTAAATAGATAAAAAATATTTTAAGGTTTGCTGATAACTGATCTGAAATCAGTTTGGCATGTTTAAAGCAGTGTCTCCAGCAGTGTCTGCGGTGTACAGATCAGACTTGAAATCAGATCAGGTTGTGATGTAGGCTGATTATAGACTTCTGCAGATTGACAGATTGAAAGATGTCTGTCATGAACTCACTTGACGAGTGCATTTTTTTGGATCTTATAACTGAACGAAAGACATACAAACACAATACCTTAAGAACTTGAACTTCACTTTTGTTTTAAAGGGGACCTACTATGCAAAAATCACTCACATAATGGGTTTAAACACAGCTGTGTGGCAACAGTGTGTGAATATAACCAGCCTCTAATGGTATAAAATTATTCTGTGTTTTTATAATAACACTTCATAACAGTCTACATATACACTTTGATTGACATTTACTCGCTTCACTCATAGGGTCTTGTTAATTGTTTTTCAGAATGAGAAAATACTTTTTGAAAATACTTTTGGTAAATTCGTTCCACCAATTTTCCAGAAACAGAAGATGTAACATGACTGGTAATTTCCCGAGAATGCTGCTCTGTGTAAACACAGAAGGAAAATAGCCAGAATGTTCAGTGTCACCAGCTCGGTTGCAGTTATTCCCCTCACTGGCCAGCAGAGGTCTCTCTCACCGGACTTTTAGCACTACATCCCCCAGAAGCCCGGATCTGATTATGCTGCACCTGACTCTGATCACACACACACACCCATATAAGCAGCATTCTAGCTCACTTCATTGCGAAGTCTTGTTACTGCCCTGTCAACATTAACAAGTGGGTCTCCTGATTGTTCTCTTGTTACTGACCTGGACTGCTCTTGACCTTGTTTTCCTTGCTGCCCGCCGCGACCCTGTGCTTTCCTCTTCGTTAACGACTTGCGCTGCCAGCCCTGATCTATGCCTGTTGCAACGACCAATGAGTATTTACTGCCTGCCTTTTGACTACTAATGCCTGATCTTCATGTGAGTGTCTATAACAACATTTGGTGCGTGTTTCTGATTGTACTGAGTTTAATAAACATACTGCAGATGGATCCTGTGTCAGCCTTCTTGTTACATTCAGAATGTGCTGATGGAAGCATCCCAGGCTCATTCTGTAAACGTACTTCTAAAGTTCTAGAGACCGTCAAATATGTCCCAGGAACTACGTTCTTTTGTAGTTTTTGTTTTTGCAAATCCACGAGAGGCTGCTGTGTACGCTTTGTGATCTCAAATTCCTGCCTATAAGATAATCACTACATCACCTAGTTACTGTGGAGGTTTCTGAAAAGAAAGAACGCACTTCTAAAAACCTCAGGAACTCACTTGAATGCAGTTTGTTTTCCCTCTTAAAGATGTTCACATGTTTTTGTCAGCCTGTTCAGTTGACACAAGTGAAACTGTAATGAATTCTAAGGTCCCAAACTGTTTAATGTGAACACGGACGTGACATCAACAATAAAACAAAACAAAGCACCTTGCAAATGAATATTACAGAAAAATACAAGCAATCTAAAGTCTACCTGGCCCTCATTTACAGTATTCTTTGTGAATTAAGACCTGCATGTGACAGACTGGACTTTTAATATCACCCTGAATATTTAAAATAATTAAAATAAAATAAAAATAATATCTTAAAGATCTGTTATAGCATAAAGCATGACATAACAAGATGACAAAAAGCAAAAGATCAATGATTTTTGCCAAATATAGTTAGAATGTATACAATATACAATATTTTTTCCACATTCAGTTATACAGATCTAGCTGTATATACAGTTGAAGTCAGAATTATTAGCCCCCCTGTTTATTTTTCCCCCCAATTTATGTTTAACAGAGAGCAGATTATTTTTGATCACATTTCTAGACATAATAGTTTTAATAACTCATTTCTAATAACTGATTTATTTTATCTTTACCATGATGACAGTAAATAATATTTGACTAAATATTTTTCAAGACACTTCTATACAGCTTAAAGAGACATTTAAAAGCTTAACTAGGTTAATTACGGTAACTAGGCAGGTTAGGGTAATTGGGCAGAAAATAAGTTGAAAGATGAAAATGAAACACAATCTCCTTGTAAAGTGACATTCACAAAATTTTAGATCTGCATCAGGCAAACACAACAGTTTCCTTAAGCGTATCTAAACGATATCTAAAAACAACAATGAACTCTAAAGAGTGTGCAGACAAACCTAGCGTGGATATTACTATATCTTTAATTTATTTCATTCAGTTGATCACACAAAGCTACTGTAAGATCACTATTATGATTATTTATCTCCCATTTAAAGATTGAGTTACATTTTTAACACACTTAATTCATAATATCAATTAGATTTTTGATGTTCAACTGTGTTCATATTCCCGAAACAGACTTATATTGGGCTGAAAGAGACTTATATTAGACTGAAAGAGACTTAAATTACGGCTAAAAGAGATTTATATTAGGCTGAAAGAGACTTATGTTACGGCTGAAAGAGACTTATTACGGCTGAAAGAGACTTATATTAGGCTGAAAGAGACTTATATTAGGCTAAAAGAGATTTATATTAGGCTGAAAGAGACTTATATTAGGCTGAAAGGGACCTATGTTATGGCTGAACGAGACTTATATGAGGCTGAAAGAGACTTATATTTGGCTGAAAGAGATTTATATTAGGCTGAAAGAGACTTATATTAGGCTGAAAGAGACTTATATTACGGCTAAAAGAGATTTATATTAGGCTGAAAGAGACTTATATTACGGCTAAAAGAGACTTATATTAGGCTGAAAGAGATTTATATTAGGCTGAAAGAGACTTATATTAGGCTGAAAGAGACTTATATTAGGCTGAAAGAGACTTATATTACGGCTAAAAGAGATTTATATTAGGCTGAAAGAGACTTATATTACGGCTAAAAGAGATTTATATTAGGCTGAAAGAGACTTATATTACGGCTAAAAGAGATTTATATTAGGCTGAAAGACTTATATTACGGCTAAAAGAGATTTATATTAGGCTGAAAGAGACATATTAGGCTGAAAGAGACTTATATTACGGCTAAAAGAGATTTATATTAGGCTGAAAGAGACTTATATTACGGCTAAAAGAGATTTATATTAGGCTGAAAGACTTATATTACGGCTAAAAGAGATTTATATTAGGCTGAAAGAGACATATTAGGCTGAAAGAGACTTATATTACGGCTAAAAGAGATTTATATTAGGCTGAAAGAGACTTATATTACGGCTAAAAGAGATTTATATTAGGCTGAAAGAGACATATTAGGCTAAAAGAGATTTATATTAGGCTGAAAGAGACATATTAGGCTAAAAGAGACTTATATTACGGCTAAAAGAGACTTATATTAGGCTGAAAGAGACTTATATTAGGCTGAAAGGGACTTAAATTACGGCTAAAAGAGATTTATATTAGGCTGAAAGAGACTTGTATTAGGCTGAAAGAGACTTATATTAGGCTGAAAGGGACTTATGTTATGGCTGAACGAGACTTATTTTACGGCTGAAAGAGACTTATATTATGGCTGAAAGAGACTTATTTTACGGCTGAAAGAGATTTATATTAGGCTGAAAGAGACTTATATTAGGCTGAAAGGGACCTACGTTAAGGCTGAACGAGACTTATATCAGGCTGAAAGAGACTTATATTTGGCTGAAAGAGACTTGTATTACAGCTGAAATAGACTTATGTTAAGGCTGAAAGAGACTTATTACGGCTGAAAGAGACTTATATTCTGGCTGAAAGAGACTTATTTTACGGCTGAAAGAGACTTATATTGCACCTGAAAGAGACTTGTATTACGGCAGCATCTTTTCTACTTTTTTATGTTCAACTTCATGTCGCTTGGCATTTTTTCATTAGCTTCTATTGGATCTGAAACAAAGATGAACAGACAGATCAACTCTGCCCATGTAACCTAATAGTGCTTAAATTGTAAAAATATTTTAGTGTTTGTTACCTGCTGCAAAACAATCTGCTTGTTTCCTTCATCTGTTAGGTCTAAGAATGAGGCAAGCTTTCTTTCAAGAACAATGTTGTCTAAAGTAAAACACACACACATTCTAACATTGCTTTCTAAAATATTTAATTTCTGGGCATGAATATCACATTTGATTATGCTTAACAATCTGATGGTAATAAGCTGTAAGAATACTTTTATTTGTGTTTGATCCAGTGTCCACCCTCCACCTACATCCCTCCAGGTAGTCTCCAGGAGGCTCTGGTCAGGGAGTGAGCTCTGCCTTGTGGTACCATCACAGAGCGGCTGTAAGTCACTTTCCAAAACATTCTCATTCACTGCTCCATGCTGGTGAAACGATCTTCTGATTCCCACCCAGACTGTGGATTCACTAGCATCATTCAAATGACAACTAAAAACCCATTTCTTCTGAGAATACCTCAACACCTGTGAATAAAACAAAGACCCCTCTTCTCCCACCTCACCACGCATTACCCCTAAATAGTTTTAATTCTGAGTCTGCCTCACACAGGTGAGAGGGCTTAACAAACCACCTGTAGAAAACTCATATACTTGCTCCAGTTTTTGCACATATTTACAATCACTCTAAAATAATAAACTGCATTTATGAAGTGTGCTTCACACACGTAAGTGGATTTCACAAACCACCTGTAGAAACACACATTTCTCTCTCTCTCTCTCTCTCTCTCTCTCTCTCTCTCTCTCTCTCTCTCTCTCTCTCTCTCTCTCTCTCTCTCTTTTTAGCACTTATGTGTATTGCTGATCCTTGTTGAATCACTGAATTCCTCCTCAATTGTTAGTCGCTTTGGACAAAAGCGTCTGCTAAAGACTAACTGTAAATGTATGATGGAACTCGCGGGCAAATTGCAGTGATCAACACAAATTCGAATCTGAAATCTTGATCAAGCTCCACCTTGTCTGGTCATGTATAACTAGCTCGTACCATCACAATAACAGAGAGCCAATTGACCCTTCGCTAAGCCCCGCCTACATTATTTCTAGAATCGCTCTTCCCCGGAATCAAACCCGGTCGTCGCCACGGCTGGCTCCTGCTCCTCCGGGCCTCCGCTCTACCATCGTAACACGACGAGCTAACCGGACAAACTGGTTGCGGCGGGAAAGCCCTCCACACGGAGGTGAGCCATCAGCTGGCGAGTGCGAAGAGGAGCGGTGTCACACCACCCCTAAGCATTTGCTTGAAAAAACGAAATGCGGCCACATATACCTCCGGCCACGTAAATCACGGTCTCCAGAAATGCCCGCGGGGCTACGTTTTCAGAATGAGCTTGGGTTGTCAAAAACATTTGTGTAAATCTAAATCAATCAAAAATGTAGTTTTGTTTTCTTGTGTGCACTGAATAGACAACATCAAACTTATTTAAAGTTAAGTTAAATCTCTATTTCATTAGTAATGTCTGAAAAGAGATGACTGAAGTTTCATGGCAAAGATGTTAACCAGTAATGCAAAATAGCAAAGTTTAGACACTCTAAACTTTTTATTTATTTATTTAGTTACCTCATATTGTATTTCTTCTATCATTTCTGTTTTAAGATGCATGTCTAAACATTTCATAAAACACGCATGATCGGAAATAGAAATTCCTTACGAGGAACTAAGCAACTTAAAGTAGCAAATTTGTACGAATTCATGTGATTTTATTCATATGAATAAGTACATATGAAAAGCAGATGTTCCCCCAAACCCCACCCCAAAATTGACCCCTATGCAAATCGTATTAAAAGATATGAATAAAATAATACAAATGAATATGAATTAGCCACTAAATCAAAAGGTTACAAATTGCCTTGAGTTTGCATTAGAAAAACAGATAAGTGATTACGAATTAAGCTAAACGAATACTGTATAGAAAAGTTTGATTATAATTATTTTTTGTGTACATAATTGTGTGTGAATATCTTATATAAGTATGTTAGAAATCTGAGGGGTGATTAAATTGAAAGGTTTTCTTCATGTGAGGCAGCGACTTTCTGAGGTTTCATTTTCTCATTACGGCTGCTGCTTTATGACACGTCTTTTCTTTATCTCGAAGTTACCTGACAGCCCACGACTGACCAGTTCTTGTTTTATCTGAAACACAGATGGACAGAGATCAAAATGAACTTTATTTGCATCAAACTCCACTTGTTATCAATGTCCATTAAAAATAAAATTCCCAATTGACTTACTTGCTGCAGAACAGCCTCCAGGTTATTACTCTGTGTCAGGTCTAAATAAGACGTGAGCTTAAATTGGGTTCCTATGATATTTTCTAAAGAGAAACATAAACATAATTACACATTTTAACATTTGTACTGCAAACAAACCAGCATGTAAAACTGATTAAACATCTACCTAATCCTTTGTTTGAGATGAAGGCCCAGCGACCGGGAACGTTTACATTCGTCGTGTTCTTGAGGTTTTGGTAGTTGCCATTAATTGAATCAGGGATCACAAAGTTGCTTACTGAGTTCATTGTGTTGTATCCGGCCTATTAAAACATGAAAAACAAATGTTATGAAAACATGCAGAGTTGATGTGGAGTACAGAATGAAATCTGTATGTTTGTTTTACCTCCATTGTTTCATTTAAGACAGCACAGTCTCCATAATTCATTAGAAAGAAGGACCAATCACCGCCTGAAATTAAAACCACTTGGAACAGAATTGCCTGAAAAGAAACAACATGTCATCATAATTCAAAGATTACAGAGTCCGTGACCTCAATAAGTAAACAAATAAATGACTTTTACCGGATTTGGCTGTAGATTGTACCTCCAAGTGGCAACAAAAACCCAGGAAGCTTTGAAGTTTGTTGGAGAGAAATATTGGTTTATATCCTGAGTGGCGCGGTCGAGCACACTTCCATTAGTGTACTGCTGATATGAGAATACTCCAGTGTGATAATCATCATAGTCATTCCAGAGCGGAGCAATGAAATCATCATTTCCTCCGAAAGGATTGATGTCAACATTTAATGTTGGTGATATTGTGAATGAAAGAACTCCAGTATAAATAGCCTGAAATATGAGAAATCAATTTACATTCAGCAATAATCACAATCTGGCTCATCACTGCATTTGCATTCAGACTTTGACAGAGAATTGAACTGAATTCTTACGTATAAGCTGTTGTATGTGTGGCCAAAGAATGTAAATGGGGTTAAAAGAGAAACAGGATATGAGTTTTCATCGTTATTAACGTGGTGTTCAGTGTCTCCTAGAGTTGAGCCGAATGGATAGAATATTGCTGGAGCTGCCAAAATAACACAAAGATGTGTGCAGTTAAAGTCAAAATCTTTCTGATTCTGATGTGAACACAACAAATCCAAAAGCCAATTATATACCTGCCCATGCGTTGAAGGCCCAGCGGCCGGTAACATTTACATTAGTCGTGTTCTTGAGGTTTTGGTAGTTGCCATTTGCTGAATCAGGAATTATAAAATTGCTTATTGAGTTTATTGTGTCGTATCCAGCCTATAAAACCAAATGTGTTGAATAAATACAGAACTGATGTAGAATATATATAATTGAATTTTAAATCCTGTGATGTTTTACCTCTGTTCCTTCATATAATGCAGCACAGTCACCATAATTCAAGAGAAAGAAAGAGCCTCCACCACCTGAAATTAAAACCGCTTGGAACAAGATTTGCTAAAAAGAAAAGGAAAACAAATTACATCACGATTCACTGTCTGTAATGTCTGTGACATGGAAGAAATAAAATAAATATCTTTTACCGGATTTGGCTGTAGATTGTACCTCCAGGTGGCGACAAAGACCCAAGAAGCTTGAAAGTTCACTGGAGAGAAATGCTGGTTTATATCCTGAGTGGCGCGGTTCAGCACACTTCCACTTGTGTACTGCTGATATGAAATCACACCAGTGAAATAATCATCAAAGTCATTCCAGAGCGCAGCAATGAAATCTTCTCGTCCTTTGAGGGGACTATAGTAAGGGCCTGATATTGCTGTCATTGTGAATGTCAGGAGTCCATTATAAATAACCTGTAATATGAGAAATCAATTTACATCAAGCAATAATCACAATCTGGCTTAATCACTGCATTTGCATTCAGACTTCGACTTGCAATGGAACTGAATTCTTACATATAAGCTGTTGTATGTGTGGCCAAAGAATGTAAATGGGGTGGAAAGAGCAACTGAAACTTGGCTTTCAGAACCAATTACAGAATATTCAGTGTCTCCTACAGCCGAGCCGAATGGATAGAATATTGCTGGAGCTGCAGAGAGAATAAAACACAAGAGTCAAAAATAGAAGTCAGAATTAGACAAGTATGCCAATTCGTATATGAATGCAGCATTAATGTAAAAGTCAGTAAATACCTGTCCATGGCTCTGCAGAAGTCATCGCAACAACCGCTGAAGAGAAAAAATAAATGATAAAACACTTCTGTGAAGTACAAAAACATTGCACAGGAGAAATCCAAAACATTACCTGATTGATCTGTGATGGCTGGCAATGTGGTGGTTTCTGAAATTACAAACACAATTAAAACAACAATGAATGAATCAATAATCTTACTACATATTGCAGTTCTCTTTCCAATAACATTTAGCAGAAACAAATAAGTAGAAACTAGCTTTAATGCTGTAACATTAGGGCATGATGGACAAAGAGAATCCAGGGCAGATACGGGAACAAGAACAGCTAAATAATTTGTATTTGATTGTGTTTACTACCTGATGATGGAACTGTGGAGGTTGCTGAAAAACAAACACAATAAAAACACCAGTGAATAATTCATTAAACTCTGTGGGCCCTATAATACACCTGGCGCAGTAAGGCGCAAGACATGTTTGGTGTGATGTGTTACTTTTTTTTAGACCAACACAACCCTAATTTTTCTGTTTTGTGCCACGTTGTTTAAATAGTAAATCCATTTGTGCCGCTTTGTGGATTCATGGATGTGCCGGTCTAGAAAAGAGTTGTGTTAAGGCGCATTGTTGGCGTGTTGCTATTTTGAGGAACTAAAACAGCCTGTGCAATTGACCAGCTGAAAGCAGGTCTAAAGTCTAGTGCACAGCATCTTAGTTGTGCACCTTAAAAGCTTACACATTGCTTAGAACACACAGGATTGACAGCAATACACAAATTCTTTTTCATTTGTAAAGATATTTAAGGATTGAAAGATTACAGAAAATATCATTTTTTACATAAATAGTTTTTCAAGATTACTCTTGTCCTTTTTGGTGTAATCTATTCATAAACATGGACATATGGAAAAACAGCGCCTCAGTGCGACCTCGTCGGGGCACTGTGGAAGGGGTTAAAACAAAAAATGTGATGAAATGAAACAAATATTGTAAAGAGGCAGGGCTTAGTTTTGACCATTGGACATTGAAAGCGTGGCTGTGGTTTGCTATTGGTAGATATTATGGGTAACGTGAACAATGACTATTATTTAGCATTACATAATCTTAGTTAATGTTATTTTACTCATGTTCTAATGCATCTCTTTACATTAACAGCCTATTTAGCACAATGATGTATTTGATCATGGATTACATAACATGACCTAACAATAACCAACACATTTATTCAGCAATACTAAATATTTTTGTACAAACTGTTAAACTGTTCACTGTTAACTGATGCATTAAACTTACATTAACTAATACAACCTTATTGTAAAGTACTGTATAGTAATCACAGAGATTATTTTTTTATTAGACAATGATACATATAAAAAATTATTTAGAATAATAAATATTGCATAAATCCATTTCTTAAATCAAAAAATTGTATTAAAGGTGAAATATTTTGCCACACAAACACACACATTCTTCATCAGGAAAAAAAAAAAAAAACAGATAATGCAGAAAGGGTGTCACGATCCTCCAAATCCTAGATTCGATTACATTTTCGATTCTAAATCACACTGAACTGAGCTAAACTGAACTGAACTTAAACACTAAAAAATTAACTACACTGTTTCTGTTACTATGACCATTTATGTGAAGCTGCTTTGACACAATCTACATTGTAAAAGCGCTATACAAATAAAGCTGAATTGAATTGAATTCAATTAAAGTCACGGTTTAATTCGATGTTCTATTATGAATAATTAATTAATTAATAACAAATTAATTATTTGTAGCCTACCGTTTAAACTAACTGACCTGCATGATCTTTGTTTTACCCATAAACAAATCATACAGTAAATGAATAAAGGCAAGATACACACATAATCACCACCTGTCAATCACTTTTTCTGCGGGACTCGTGAATAGGCAGTGATCTGTGTCGTTATAATGGCGTCAGTAAAAAAGGTGCACAACCAACAGGAACCAGCCAACAGTATCTGAGGTGTTCGCTAAAATGACTAAGTACAAGTGAGTGAAAGATTAAAGCAGTCTACCAATCCTCTGACTGCCTGGACCTGCTGTCTCGAGCGCATGGCTGTGTGTGTGCGTCTGTGTCTGAGCCTATATTTGGTGTGTGTGGTCACGTGATGTGCGTTTTCAGCAGTAGTGAGGAAGGAGGGCTGCTCAGAAATGCTACACGCCACTGTGGATGTTAAATCGTTGTCGTTATAAAATGCCATTTAATAACAAAGACATATTAGTGTAAACAGGGCCTGAGTGTGTACTTCTCGTGAGTGGATTTGCAAATGGGGCGGGGAAAAGGATCACGATGCAGGTATTGTCTATCGGACGAACCTGAATCCGCTTGTTAAGGGGTGACATGTTTGTGATGTATGTAATACTGTTTCCGGGTCCAAGCCGCCACTCATTTGAGTGGAGAAATCATTCGTTTATGATCACGTTTTATTCCTATCACACATTAAAGTTAATTTTATATAAAATCGTAATGTACACAACAATCTCTGGGCTTGCTGCATAACAAATACCAAAAATTTATCAATTTATAAAAAATATTTATCACTTTCTGGCCATCGGATATTAGGCATGGACATATATACTGCGATCGTGATTTTCGAAAGCATTAAATCGTTTTGTAAACGTTTGTTGTTACCATTTCATGAGTCTCCCCATTGAGTTGAATAGAGCACTTGGACCCGGAAGCCGCTTCGCGTGACGTCACACTTAACAAGCGGATAGGTACATAGCAGAGCTTGCAAACTGTGTTTTTTTTTCGACAACACGAACGTTGTCAACATAACTCACTGGAAATTCAAAATGCTTCCACACCGGCGACTTCATTGAAAGAGGAGAGGGTTTAAGCTCTGTCGACGGGTCTCCTGCGTCTGCAGTTTAACAAGCACTTCAACAAGCCTGTTTTTTTTCCCCCTTGGCAAGCCAAGCTGACTTGACATGGGGGCGTGGCAGCATCGACGATTCCATTTTTCGATAATCAAAATTAAGCATAAATTTCGATCGATTTCAATTTAAAATCGTGACACCCCCATAATGCAGTAATGATGTGCAACAAAAACATCACAGAACTGCACAAATCAGGAAGAAACTATAAGAAACTTGTCTATTTAGAATCAGAAATCAGAAAGAGCTTCATTGCCAGGTATGTTCACACATACAAGGAATTTGTTTTGGTGACAGAGCTTCTACTGTGCAACAGAATCACAGAGACAGGACAAAAAAAAACAGATAATACATATATATAAAAAAGCAGTAAGTAGTGAATGCAAATATACAAATAGACAAGTGTATGTAGAGCTATATTACTATATTCAACGTTATATGTGCAGCTGTTATGTGCAAATTGGCATGTAAAGTGGGTTGTTAAATAAGTGGGTCACACTTTATTTTAATGGTCCGTTTGTTGAATCTAATTTGCATTGCATCTACATGCCAACTGATTCTCATTAGATTATAAGTAGACTGTTAGATTTGGGTAAGGGTTGCGATTGGGGTTAGGATTAATGTAAGTTGACATGCATTTTCAAAGTTTCTTCTAGTCAGTTAAATATCTGTTGAAGGAGCAGTATCAACAGATACTAAGCAGAAAGTCTACTAATACTCAAATGGACCATCAAAATAAAGTGTTACCAATAAGTGTATATGTGTATAAAGTGTATGGCAAGTAGTGATGTTTGTTCCACAATTATTATTATCAAGTGATTGCCTGAGGGTAGAAACTGTTTCTGTGTCGGGCTGTTCTGCTGCGCAGTGCTCTGTAGCGTCGACCAGAAGGTAAAAGTTCAAAGATAGTTTAAAGGGGTAGTTCACCAAAACAAAGACAATTCTGTCACCATTTACTCTCCCTCAAGTGATTCCAAACATGTATGGGTTTTTTCTTCTGTTGAACACAAGCAAAGATGTTGTGAAGAAGGCTGAAAACCTGTAATCATGGTAAGAAAAACAAATACTAAAGATGTCAATGGGTACAGGCTTTCAGCTTTCTTCAAAACACTGAATCTTCTTTTGTGTTCAACAGAGGAAGGAAATCCAAAACAGTTCTGAACAAGTAAAGGGTGAGCAAATGATACCTTTTTATTTTTATTCACTGAAGTGAAGTGAGGAGGTTAGTTTCAAAATAAATAGTGAAGATTTGTGATCGGTTTACCTGTCGATGTTGGTTGAGGAGCCCATTGTGCCCTGGCTGTTCAAGAAAAAACAAATGACATTATATTTAGAAACGTAAATGAGTTCATTGTATTGTCTTCAGCCCATCAAGAGAAAATTAAACATTATTAAAAGATGCATACTCAGTGCCAAGACTAATATTATCAGAAGCAGATGCTGTAAAACCAGAGATAACTTCATGATGGTGAAGTCAGAGACAATAACAGCAAACCTAGAAGTCCTTCTTCTGTTAACACACACACACACAGAGAGAGAGAGAGAGAGAGAGAGTATATATACTACAAAAATACAATGTAAAAAAGTATTTTTCAAAAATTCAACACATTTCTAAACATAATAGTTTTAATAACTCATTTCTAATAACTGATTTATTTTAACTTTGCCATGATGAGAGTACATCATATTTTACTAGATATTGTTCAAGATATTAATATTTATTATTCACAAATTCATAGCTATGTAACTGTTTAACTGAAGGTCTACAAATTACACAAGCGCAAGTAATGATAGTGTTGTACTTGCCTCTGACAGCTTCACCCAACAGGTTCATCTACAGTGGTGTAGCAGGAAGTGTGTGGTTTATATACTGTACGCTCAAGCACCATGGTTATGAGGACACGTTAACTAGAATCGAACAAAATATGCTATCTCCATAGGAACACCAACAATAGTTTTACACAACTCTAAATCGAAGTTCAAACATCAATTAACTGTTAAATTTTGTTTAACAGAGAACATTTAGGACATTTCTAAACATAATAGTTTTAATAACTCATTTCTAATAACTGATTTACTTTATCTTTGTCATGATGACAGTAAATAATGTTTCACTAGATATTATTCAAGACACTTCTATACAGTTTTAAGTGACATTTACAGGCTTAACTAGGTTAATTATGTTAACTAGGCAGGTTAGGGTAATAAGTCGTTGTATAACCATTGTATAATGGTTTGTTCTATAGACAATAAAAAAATGCTTAAGGTGGCTATAATAATAATGACCTTAAAATGCTTATTTTTATAACAAATATGAAATATGAAAACAAATATGTTAAGCATAAGAAAAAAATCTAGGAAATACTGAGAAAAATTTCTTAGTCTGTTAAATATCAGTTGTTTTGTGTTCAGCACATTGTGTTTGGTCTTTCCCCATGTGCTCATTTGTCTATTAATTAGACCCCGCCTGTCTTGTTACCTGTTCAATTTGTTAATTTGTTTCACCTGAGCTCCTCGTTTGAGACTTTGTTTGCTCCTCTATTTATTCTCCCAGTTTGCTGTTGTCTGGGCTGATTCGTTTCTCATGCTACATGTAGTTAGATGCTTGTCTGGTTTTCTGTCCAGTTTGGTTTTATTTTGTTTTACTTAAAATGACTATTTACCCTACCATGGGCTTGTTGTTTTTTCCAGCCCTTTTGGCTGTTATCTGGGCTCTGTGTCCAGTTTTGTTCCTAATTAATAAACTTTATTTTGTATTGCTGATCTGCGTCTGGGTTCTGTTCACACACCTGACACAAAGGAGGGTGAATAAATGTTTTTTTTCTTTATATATATATATATATATATATATATATATATATATATATATACATCACTCTTGGGGCTCCACTCCTGGGTGTGTCATGAACTGTGCCAGTAGTTCTGTGTCTTGATGCAAGTTTACTGATAACACTTTGAGACACACCAAGTTCATGAGCAACATCGGACTACTGTACCTGGCAGCGACCCGAGATGCTCCATGGCCAGGTAGCACTGCTCGTCGCTTAAGTAAGGTTGTGTGTTCATGGCTGTTTGAATTATAAACTAGGAATGACTTACTCACAGTACCGGTATAATATTCCCACAGAATGTTGAAATTGGTCCCACATTGAAAAAGGTTGTCTTTTGGTATTCATCTCAATATAAGGCACACCTGTACACAATCAGACCAATACATGGAAAACACAAAATGAGGTGTCTATCACCTTAATACAATTGCCTCCCTATCTCGAAACTGTGCAAAGTGAAACAAACGCTGTATGTATGACGTTCACTGAGTCTCTCACAAAAGTCCTTAACTTATTGTTATTAGAGATAACAGGAATAGCAAAACAATGATCTCACGTTTACTGACGTGTAAGATTATCTTGTTGTTTCCTGTTGGAAAGCAAAGTTCTGCCAAGAACAGAAAACTGGAAAATCAGAATAGCTGACAGACCAATTCATAAACAAAGTGCAGAATGTAGAGCTGTACTGTAAACAAGAGTCCTTCTCTAGAAAGCACAAGTGTTATTTTGTTTCAGCAACACAGAGATAACAAAGCTTGGATTTATGACTATCTATTAAAAGTAAATAAAAAAATTATATGACTTACTGTTTTGGCAGACTTTAGCGCCACCCGATCAAGTCTAGAATGAGCTTTTTTTTTTTTGTAGATACAGAAATAATCTGTGAGGGAATTGTAGCATTGAGTGCACCAGGATGGAAGCCATTTTATGTTGATCAAAAAGTTGAAAGTGATGGTGGTTACTTTGTGTTATTTGCATTTTGACTCACACTGATAGGATTTTGATTCAGAGCGTAAATTTTCACAGTGCATTGTGGGTATTCTCAAGTTTACATAGATTTTTCTCTCATTATTGAGGTGCATTGTGGGATTGATTTAGTGCACTTCAGAACGTCCACCACTACAAATGGCTGCTCTCATGAATAGTGCATTATTTAGGCGTAAAGGGGGCAATTTCAGATACAGCCAAACAAAAAATGATTGGTTGGGGAAGGGGACAAGGATGCCCTTATTAAGATAAATCAATGAAAATGTGTTAACCAGAATGCAAAATGTATTATATCAATATATTTATCATATTGTTTCATTTTAGTACAGTCAATAGTCAGTCAAATGAATTAGCTTAAACGTATGCGAGATGTTCCCCCGGATTGAAAGGCCATATTTTGGAGTTCTGCATAGAGTAAAGGTAAGACACATTTTTTGTCAAATACATTTTTTTTTGTTTTAAAGCCATTTAAGGCAATAATATGAATAAGTACTACAGTTTTTTGCAATGATTTCTATGCTGTTTGTTGAAATCAATTCAGGGCTTAAGCTCTGATTGGTCAGCTGGCAAGGTCTGTTTTGATTGCTCTTACTGTATCTATTACATAGCTTTTGAAAGGTGCCACCCCAGTGACAGCTATGCCTGACCAGATTCTATATTTCATGATTCACATGTTTTTTTTTAAGTTTATTTACAGTTATGAATTGCATTATCACGGTTATGTTTCCAACATTGATGTTGAAAATTTAACTGTGCCGTTTAACGATATGTTGTCTTTTACTGACATTTTAGTAGTTCCAAACAATACATTATATATTATGTAGAAAATACTTGGTAGGGGCCTGCTGACTGTACAAAATTGTAATAATAATTAAAAAAAAAATTAATGTTATGTAAATATCAAAAATCCATTTGGCACTTTTGAAGCAATGCCTCCAGCAGTGTCTGCGGTGTACAGATCAGACTGGAAATCAGATCAGGCTGTGATCTAGTGTGATTATAGACTTCTGCTGATTGACAGATTGAAAGATGCCTGTCATGAACTCACTTGACGAGTGCATTTTTGGATCTCATAACTGAAAGAATAAACATACGAGCATAATACCTTAAGAACTTGACCTTCACTTTTATTTTACAGTGAACCTGTCATGCAAACGTCACTTTCATGTTGGGTTTAAACACAGTTGTGTGAATATAACCAGCCCTTAATGGTAAAAAATAATTAATACAATTTTTTATAATTACACTTTATAAAACAGTCTGCAGAAACACTTTGGTGGATATTAGCCTGTTTCACACATACAGGGCTCTATTTTAACAGTCTAGGCGCAAAGTCCAAAGCGCAGGGCGCAAAAGGATTAAGGGCATGTCCGAATACGCTTTTGCTTTTTTAAGGACAGTAAAATCCACTTTGCACCGTGGCACATGGTCTAACAGGGTTGAGCTTATTCTTTTAATGAGTTCTAGGTGTGTTTTGAGAATAACCCAATCAGAGTCTCATCTCACATTCCCTTTAAGAATCAGTTGCGTTGCGCCACAGCGCATTTGCTATTTACAAGGGGGACTTTGTAAGTGGAAAAACTGAGCGCTTCACTAGCAAGAAAAAAGTTAAACAGAGCATCTGCAGTGCGAGAAACAGAGAATGTGCCTCCTCCAATTGGCCTTTACTTTCACTTTCGTGGATTAAGAATTGTATTGTACATCCATTAGCCTACATAATTAATTTCGTGAAAACGTCTTGCACCTTATTGCGCCGGGTGTATAATAGGGCCCACAGACTTTAATGGAAAATTAACAGCAATTTTGTCTGTTCAAGAGGTCTTGAACTGACCCTTTTTGTAAATACTTTTGGTAAATTTGTTCTGCCAATTTTCCGTAAACAGAAGATGTAACATTACTAGTAATTTCCCAGGAATGCTGCTCTGTGTGAACACAGAAGGACAATTGCCAGAATGCGCTGACATCAGATGTCTACTCTGGCCAATCAAATGAAGATGACAGATTCACATCCGCACTGCTTATGAAAATAAAAGCCTTTGATTCCTTTTCCAGATCCATTTACCTGCTGCATTTTATTAGCCAGATAGCTATTTTCCTTCTTAGAGCCAACTGTGGAAACATTTTTTGAATAAAATGTTTCTGATAAGCTAATGTTACAATACTTGTCCATCCACTTACCTGGCACTTTGTGATTTAGTCAAATATGTAATCAAAAATGTTTTTAGCTGCATTTTTTTAGCTGCCATTATGATTGAGCACTCCCCCCTTCCACCCCATCTCCTTCTTTTCCTCCCTTTTCTAAAGGGGGAGCTATTGAGACCTACCTGATCTCGGATCCCCTGATATGCTTATTGACCGGGCCGAAGCCCTGAGCTCAAATATCTCCGAGCTTAGGGTTCTCTCTCAGGACAGCAGGTCAAACCTGCTTTAAATGCCAAGCCTATCTAAGTGGGAACTCTTGAAACTTAATGTAAATGGTGCTTTCCGCAAAAATTAGGGAACCTGTGTCCTTGCCTGTGTGAACAGCGAATTTTGCGTTAAAGTTGTTCTGGAAAATTTCCGGATATTTATCAGTATCGCTGTGTGAAATAGGCTCTCCTTGTATGTCATCAGAAAAGTAGTGACGATCTCTCACTCGTTAGTATGGCCAGACGGAATCTGCGGACATTTTTTGCTATTTCTGCAGTAAATTTTGGTAAAAATCTGCAGATTTCTGCTGAATTATTTTGGGAGGATCATAACTAAAACCTTAATATATGAATAAAAAAATACATCTTTTTAAACTTTTATTTAATGTTTACAAAGCAAATCCAATTAGATTCACTTTATTTGGTAAACAAAGCAAGTATAAAAAAATCTGCTAAAAGACAGAAATTATTACTGTACAAACTGTGTTGTAAATAAATCAGATGAACATTTTCATATTAGTCAAAAATATTACTGAAATTAATTAAAACTGAATAAATATAGATTTACACACATTTACTCAAGTAAATAAACTGAATTAATGATGGGCTAAAAATCTGTGGATAGTCTGCGTAAATCTGCACGTGCAGATTCTGTGTGGG